CTCTTCCAGCCACAATAATGGAGAAAGCATTACCTCGAACCATCGCCAGTGAGACACGCTGCAAAAGCCACTCCGTCTCGCGAGGTTCGTCCCTTAATCGAGACGCAATCGCGCCAGTCCTCTGAAGGAACGCCATCGAACGATGGTCAATAACCACTGAAGTCTCCACTCGTACAGGATTAAAAAAGAATCTAACAGCAAGAGAAGAATATTTAACTATTTTTTTCATCTCTGCGTCCCGGATCCTGGCTCAACCGCAGAACTGATCAAATTACCGGCTGAAAATGTATCCGCACAGGTCGCATCCCAAATCAACGACTTCCCCATTTTAAAAGGGAAATGGTAATGCCATCCAGCCGCTTTCCATCACCGCGGTCGAGGCCTACGGGTTCGATTTGGGAAGGGAACCCAGCTGCATCCAAACCTCTTTTGATGATGTCGTTTATTGCTGCATGCCGTGGAAAGCGGACGACACTACGACGACAGAAGAGAGGATGCAAACCAAACTCATCGATGGAGGCTCCACATCTGTATCTGTGACGCTCACATAATTTGAGTCCAAGACGGATCGCGACTCCGACCCGAGTGCACTCATCATCTAGAAGGGTACCGGTAGATGAAGAGGGCATTGCGTTGAGCCAGGCGCCACTACTCGGTTGTGAAGCAGATAGTAGACAGACGAAGCGATGCTGATTCAGAGAGAGCCTCAAATTAGTAAAATTGGCCACGTATTTTATTTTATCCCAGCTTTTTTTTGATGTTTGCTTATTTGTTTATTATTTACTTAATTTATTTATTTATTGATTATAATTATTCATCTGTTTTCATTTTTTTTGTTCGTTTTTATTTTTCGATTTTTAAGTAACATAGCAAAAAATGTTTTGTTTGCAATTTGAGGTGAGTTCTGATCAATTATGTAGTAAGTTGTGTTAGTTTGAGAAGGCAATTATAAGTATTTTCTCATGCAAACAGAGTCTATGGTTTGGGGATTTATTGTTGTAGGCTATTTTCCTTATTTTCTATATTTTTGGTGTGATCTGTTTTTTGTTCTTAATTCCCATACATATTTAGAAAGCATTGTGCTGTTCGCGTATTTGTGAAGGATGTTTTGTATGCGTAGTTTCTTTGTTTCCAGTGTACTCCTACGTATATTTTTTCTTCGTTATCTGCTGATTTTTTGCTGGCTTGATATATTATATTGTATTGTAAGCAATTTCATTTTAAGGGACATTAGTTCTTTACTCTGCGGTTACATATAGGTTTTATTTGTGCGGGTTGTTTATTGGTTGTTTTCTTGCGTTTTTTTTTCATTATTTGTCATGTCCTCGGTGCAACTGTATCTGATTTTTATTGTGTTTTTGTTCAATATCTCGTGAAGAGGGGTTGATAGGGGAAGTGTTAGTGCATCAGTTTAATGAATATTTTTCCTACGTTTGATTTTATGTTTTTGTTACACAGTGGGTTAAACCATATGATGTTTCTTTTCCTGATGGCTTTTTTGTGTGCTGTGCGCTGTGTATGCGAATGTTGCCGAAAATCCACTATCTTTGAGGGCTGTTTCATAATCATTTTTGACTTTGTTGAAGATAGTTTCACTGGAAGAATCGTCAGATAACCTGCGGTTAATTGATTGTGGGAACTGCTTGATTATTGATGTTGGATGTTTGGAAGATGTGCTTATGTATAGAGTGGTTTGTCATTAGGATAACTATATGGTTGATATGTACCTTTTCTTAGGTTGAATGTGAAATCTAGGAAATCTACATCTTTCAGGTTAGTTTTTATGTCTATGTGGAATCCCATATTTTTGAAATTTTTATGATTGTTTTTCTGATTTTATCTGTCTTTTTGGTCTGCTAGTTTCTTAAGATTATGGGATCGTCATCATTGTAGAGGCCTATATCATTTTTATCGATTATATTACTTAGTGCGTGTAGCAAATGTATACCTATAAGCTCACAGCTTCTGGCACTATTAAAGCTTCCCGTTGTAATGTTCTTTTTTTCTTTATCCACGCGTTTTCGTTGTCGAATCATAATGATTTTCGCAAGATCTTAATGATTTTTATTTCGTTTTTGTTTACTTTTATTTGTTATTGAGCTACGCAGATGGATTCTGTGATAGAAGTGTCAAAATCTTTTATAAACTCAGAATTATTAGTTTTTCAGGTTACGGAACTAGTATGTAGTTGTTTTTTGATGATTTTCCAATGATTTACTCCTAATTTCTTCCTTAGTTCTGTATAAATTCTTTCTATTTTACTTAGTTCACTTTTGGTTGGGTTTATGAGTTTGCATGTTGGGTTTGTTCTGAAATTTTATTTATGTTTTTTTAATGTGGTAATTGCTTGTTATTTAGCGTCTAAATCTTATGTTTGGATGACTGTTTCATCTACCTTATAAATGTATTATGCTGTTGTTTTTTTGGTGTTTTTTGTATGTTTTAGTTATGTTATCCTTGAGTAAATTTTTTTGGGTGGGGCGGGGGGTGAATTATTTCGTATGCATTTCTAGTTTCGTCCGCTGCAATAAATACGTTAAGCGAATTGTTTATTGTACTTATTTTTGTAGTTTTCTTCTGAAAGACGTCTAATTGTTTATGAAATTTTATGTTTCTTAATAAGTTCGTCAAGTCTTTCACCAGGCCGCTTCGTTCCTTGTGTTGTGGGGGACATATTTTGATTTTAAAGACGCATTTTTCCATGAATGTAATATTTGTTGGTTAGTTTATTTTGTTTAGCGGCATATCAAACTCTCTACCAAAATGTAAATATTTTGAACGCAGTATGCCTTCAACTCCAGATAGAACGTATTGTTGGTAACTTTACTATACATAGGTACTATTGGTAATTTTACTGTAAATATTTGTTGTTGGCAATTTTACTATAAATATGTATTGTTAGTAAATTTACTACAAATATATATTGTTTGTAATTTGCAATAAATATGTATTAATTTTCATTTCAACATAAATATGTATTATTAGTGATTTTACTATAAATATGAATTGTTAGTAATTTTAATATGCATAGGTATTAGTGGTAATTTTACTGTAAATATGTATTGTTGGTAATTTTTTATATAATAAGGTCTTGCAGTAATTTTTAGTATAAAATAAATTTTTACACTTTCATGGTGTTTTTTTTTTTTTTTTATTGGAGGGTTCACTATTTACCTATAACTGGGATCCGAACAGGTGCTACCACCCTGAGTTAGGGTAGACTTGGGAACAACAACAATTAAGATGTTATTTCAAGCTTCTCAAAGCTTCGAATCTCCTGATCAGAGGCCTTGCTGCCGGATGTAGTTTATCGTCATACCAAGGACTAGTGGTATTTGTATTAAATTCTTGATTTATAAAGAAATACGCTTTCCATCTCATTCTTTTTGTGAATCTTTCTATTTTTTCAGTTAATCTCAGTTTGTAGGTGGAAGGTGATGGGAAGGTTTTTTTTGGCGGGGAGTAGTAGGGATTAAACTTTTAATTATAATTTTAAGATATGCGATATTTATGAGTTAACGTGATCAATGCTAAAGATAGAATATATGTAAATATAAAAGTGAAAACTGAGGTCAACACACCTGCGGTTACAGTCTGCTTCATGATTAAACGCAATCATCCCACAATTCGATACTTTAGTGATGCCAAATCGGTCGGGTTTCGATCCCGGCTTTAAGCAATTGGACGTCCAGCCACATTGAAGAGCTGTGCTACAGCGAAAGAGCCTGTGGATAACTATATATGCTCGGAGTACCCCAACCCTGATAGAGCTCCCGGGAAAAAAAAAAGTTTCCTGCTTTGCTATATAAACTGTTAAAGACGCTAAAAAATACATAAATATTTTGTTTTTTTTTTACCCTAATTGCGTATATGATAAAATCGAATTTTCCATTTGGGGTGAGCTTTTTTTCAAGAACTATATCAAACTAATGACTTTTTCATTACTTTTGAACAAAATCTCGTTATTGCGCAAGAACATGAGATTACAAAAAAGTCATAGCCTATATATATATATATATATATATATATATATATATATATATATATATATATATATATATAAGCGTCTAATGATTATTTTTTCTTTCAGATTTAATAACTTAAGTCTTTGGAAATTTTAACCATAGAAAAATTAACAATCAAACAACGTGTTAAAGTTATCGAAGCCTATTATGAAAATGGACGTTCAAACAGAATTTTGAATGAGAAGTCCCCAGGTCGTATCATCTCTCGAAGCAACGATGTCACTTGGTCACGACGATCGTGCAACTTGACGCCTTTAGATTTCTTCCTTTGGGGTCATATCAAAAGTAAGGTCTATGCCAACAAGCTAACAACAATTCAACAGCTGAAGGATGAGATAATAAGGCATATTGGTGAGATTGAGAAGCAACTATGCAGAGGCATCATCAAAAATTTTGACCATCGAGTTGAGGTGTGCCGCCGAAGCCTTGGGGGACATTTGGGCGATGTTATTTTTCACACATAATTACCATGACTTAAATAACATGATCCAATAGAGAAATAAATAAAGTTTCACCAATAACACTGATTTATTTACTGCTGACTTTGATCCGTCTTAATGAAACACTCGTGTGTGTGTGTGTGTGTGTGTGTGTGTATTTAGGCAGCAATCCTTCTTTCATGCACATTTCATTGAAAACAGACAATGTGCTTTTATTAATTTTTTTCATACAATTTCTCATGCGATCTAATAATTTTTTTCTTTTCGGATGATAAATTATATAATAATTGCCCTAATGTTCTTTTTATCCGAGCGCTTTCGGCTATACATTTAGCCATTTTCAAGGATTATATTTTAACTGTTAAAATAAGAAATAGTTTGTTGTACGTATGTTTTATAAAATGTTTTCATTTTCTTTTTCAAAACACGGTCAAGATATTATGTTCATGTTCAAAGTTAATATATATATATGTGTGTGTGTGCGCTCGTGCGCGCGCGGGTGTGTCAGTCTTATCTGTAATATCATGAAACTAACGGGAAAGAAAGAAAGAAAGAAAGAAAGAAAGAAAGAAAGAAAGAAAGAAGAGAGAGGATGTAGAAAAAAAAGAAAAGCGAGTGCTTGATAAGTAAAATGATACATGAAACACTGAAAAGTTTTTTGGCTTTTTTTAGTCTTTGTAAAATCAGGAATGGATGTTGGAGAATTCGAAGACGAAGCACAAGTCAGACAACAGTCTGAACCCGGGGCAAAGTAAACGGCGAATAAGATATAATTAAAGCTGACAGGGAATTTGAATGTGTTAGGTTTCCATTAAGAAATTTAGCTCAAATAAGTAATAGCCGACATACATCACTACCGAGTTTTCATTCTTTATTAACCGGAAGCTACTGTTGCAAAAACGCCACCGGACGGAAGTCGGAAATTACCAATAACAATGGTGTCACATTGAACAAACCAACTAACACTTCTCGTCAGTTTTTTTTTTTTTTTTTTCCTTCGGCTATTACAGAACTTGTAATCTTCGAAGAAGTTCTCAGTCTTTGGCTTTAGGGAAATTCTATAAATAAACGCAATTTTACTTGGAAAGAATTTCGCCAAGAGAATTGAAAATTTCTACTTCTCCCGTTTCTGCTTAAAATCGACTTCACAACTCACTAAAGAAGCAGTCGTCCTCTTTTAGTTCTGAGTGGTTAGAGTTGGATAAGTCCTGGATTGTTTCTTGGCAAAAATCCCAGGCCTACTTCGAAAGACTTAATTCACTTACGATAGAATATAAAGCGGACAAAACAAAGAAAACGGCAAAAGCAAGAGAAAGACCTTCAGAGATTGCAGTCAATTTCTATACAATATGACGCTGAAGGCCGCAGGCTAAGTTTTCTTTTCAGCACAGCGACAGCGTAACACGGCATCCACTAGTGGCTACTGACTACAAAATAAACTAGCAAACTTTAACATCTGAATTACACTGTGAAGTAAAAGTTGAAGAATAAAATAGACTTAAAACTACAGAAAGCAACTCTACGCTTTTCCATCGTAATATTAATCTTGTTGCAGATGCTTTTATCCGGGTCAACTAGTTGTAATAACTTATTGAAGTGAACAGGGGTGGATCAATAAATCTATAGAGCTAGATATAGTTATTAGATGAATCATGATCAGAATATTTAATTGTATAATTCAAGTAATCAAATAATTAATTACTATACACAATTGAAATGAGCGCTCACTTTATTTCATCGTTTCAGTATAATCGACTTTCTTGCTAATGCTTTTAATTCCAAGCCAACGGACATATTGATCAACCTTCCTTATAAATCTTATTCATTCATTTGATTTAAATTTTTTCCTTTAATTTTTGTATTTTTTTTTAAATCTTTTATTTTTCTCTGTTCTTGACCTCTTCGGTTTTGCATATTTTTTATTTTTTTTATTTTATTTTTCTAGTTTTATCTTTTCAAGATTTCTTTGTCTTTCCACGTCGTGCAGTCGCCATTGTGATTTCTCCGGTTTTTCGTTTTCACACTTTGTCCTTTTCTGCCTACTTTGCACGGTTATGCAAAACCTAAGATGGACGCCCATTATTCAAATGTTTTTTTTGTTTTTTGCTTTATTTTGTTTTTTGCATAGAGGTGAAAATCATTCTCACGCGACTGTTATTTAATTCCTCAACGTCCCACTCGACTATTTACGCTCTTCTTACTTTTATTTCTATTATCTATCTATCTATCTATCTATCTATCTATCTATCTATCTATCTTATTCTGTTCAGTATCTATCTATCTATCTATCTATCTATCGTCCTAAGACAGTGTCTATCAACCTATTTAACTATATCAGTTGTCCATATCTATCTATCTATCTATCTATCTATCTATCTATCTATCTATCTATCTATTTTATTCTGTTCAGTATCTATCTATCTATCTATCTATCTATCTAAGCTTGTTCCTATCTATCTATTTAACTATCTGAGCCTGCTAATATCTATCTATCTATCTATCTATCTATCTATCTATTTTATTCTGTTCAGTATCTATCTATCTATCTATCTATCTATCTATCTATCTAAGCTTGTGTCTATATACCTATTTAACTATATCAGCTTGTCCATATCTATCTATCTATCTATCTATCTATCTATCTATCTATCTATCTATCTATCTATCTATCTAAGCTTGTTCCTATCTATCTATTTAACTATCTGAGCCTGCTAATATCTATCTATCTATCTATCTATCTATTTAACTATCTATCTTTCTATTTATATCTGCTTTTCTATATATTCTGTCTACATATATATTTATTATATCTATATATATATATATATATATATATATATATATATATATATACACAAATATAAAAGGAAAAAGAGTAAGATTTCAGCGTACAAAACATTAATTTAAAACAGGGCTCAATACAAAAGAAGATCAATAAATATTTATTTATTATGCAGTGTTTCATTAGAACATGCATATACCCACTACAAAACTGTACATCTTGTTTCAACTTTAAAAAATTTTCTTTTAACGTTTCATCAGGTGGGAAATCACGATGATTCTAAAATATTTTATTCCGAAATGCAGTTAACGAAGCACATCTTCCACTGCCGTCATTGGAAAGTTTCCCATAAAAGTTTAAAAAGTATTTACATGTGGAAAAAGAAAAGAAGCCAAGTGATTAGTAACAGTGAAAGAGAGAAGAGAAATAAGAAGAAAAAGGACAAAAAAAAAAGAAAAGAAAGTTTGAGAAAAACAAGGTGGGGGAAGGAGGTGAGATAAACTAAGAAGGGAGAAATTCAACCAATGGAATTTCGTCGAATCATAGAATTCGAATTTTAACGGTAACATAGCGTTGTTAGGTTAATGTTTCTATGACAAAAACTTCCTGTGGTCGGAGACAATTATTTATGGAATTAAAAGAGTATTACAGTATTTTATGAAACAGACTTTCTAATATAGATTAGAATAGTAAACCGATTTTAAATCTTTATATTGTCATATTAATTATATTTAACCAAATTTTACTTTACATTATGAATTAGAATGCTACATACATTTTTACCTTTCGTATTATTTTTTTTAGCATAACGCGTTATGAAAGTGAAAAATAAGTCAAATAATATAACGAATGAATTTTAAAAAGATAAGCAGGTGGTGAAATCGAGATAGAAATAAAGGTAAAATAACATTAGTATAAACCTTCAAATTTCAATAAATCAAGTTGGAAAAGGGAATTGATATTATTGCATATAGAAAGTAAAAAAAGAAGAACGGAAGATATAAATGAGCTTGGATCGCAACCTGTCCGATTCGGGGCCAGTCAGAGTTCTAACCTTGAGCCACACACACACACACACACACATATATATATATATATATATATATATATATATATATATGTGTGTGTGTGTGTGTGTGTGAAAGGAAGAGGTTATGGTAGTTCCAATGAGAGAAAAATGTATATATTAAAAAGAAGAGAGAAACCGCAAACGTTTTTGGTTGTAATGTGGATTTTTTTTTAATATATTATGCTTTATTTTCCATAATTTTGCTACACGGGTTTCCGGTCTCGCGACCGTCATCAGGCAAAGGGGGGAGATTTCCACATATTAATAAAAATAAATAATTTTTTCTTTACGTTTTTCGTTGTGAAATATTCTCGATATGAGACATTCTCTTTTTTGTCTTTCTTGAACTGGCAGTGAAAAGTTCTGCGTGAAGTGTTATAAGACAATATATATATAATCATTTAAACCTAAACAATTTAATCAGAACAATTACATGAATATAATTATAGAAAAGGCATATAGAAGCTACAAGATGGCAATGTGAATGTGACTGAAGCAGAGATGCCATTTCAGGACCAATAATATTGCAAATAATTCTTTATATTGTATCTAGAACCTCTCAATACATACCAGGAAAAACATTTCCCTATTACTTTTAATATTCAGTCCTTGGTATTTCCAGTATTTACCGGTACTTCTCTGTTGTTTCTCAGGTTCAATTTATGGTATTTACAATATTCGTCGGTAATACCACACTTATATTACTTGTCACGTTCAGTGTTTGGTATTTTCAGCATTCTTCGGTAAAACAACTTCTCTATTCCTTTTAATATTCAGTCCCTGACATTTTCAGCATCTGTCGGTAAAACCACATCTGGATAATGTTTCATATACAATCTTTGCTATTTTCAGTATCTATCGGTAAAAAAATTTCTCTATTGCATCTAATGTTCAGTCCTTAGTATTTTCAATATTCTTCGGTAAAACCACATCTCTATTGATTCTCACGTTCAGCCGTTGTTATGTTCAGTATCTGTCGGTAAAACCACATCTCTAGTTCTTTTAATGTTCAGTCCTTGGTATTTTCAGCATTTATCAGGAAAATAAATTCTCTATTTATTTCATGCTCAGCTCTTGCTATTTTCAGCATCTGTCGGTAAAACCACATCTGGATAATGTTTCATGTACAGTCTTTGCTATTTTCAGTATCTATCGGTAAAAAAACTTCTCTATTGCTTCTAATGTTCAGTCCTTGGTATTTTCAATATTCGTCGGTAAAATCACATCTCTATTGCTTCTTACGTTCAGCCGTTGTTATGTTCAGTATCTGTCGGTAAAACCACATCTTTATTTCTTCTAATGTTCAGTCTTTGGTAATTTTGGTATCTGTCGGTAAAACCACTTCTCTATTGCTTCTTGTGTTCAGCCCTTGGCACTTTCAACATCTGTCGGTAATCGGAATGCCGTGATAAAACGCCACAATGATAAGCTGGTTTCTGACTGATAATAACATAAAAAATATTTACCTGAATATTTCAAAATAAACCTTCTGCTTGGTTCTGTTGTCATCATTTTCCTAATCGCCTCCTGCTGTAATCTATCTATAATTCATTTTCTTCAAATCTACTTATTGCGGCTGAAGCAGCAGCAGCGTTCTTACGTCCGCACATTGTTTTCATTTTTCTTTTGAATACATCTTCGAGATTTTTTAAGTTTTATTCCCTCGACCCGCGGAAATGACTTTCAGGATGAATTAAATCCACTTGAGGCTATAATCTTAATATGGTGAAATATTGACTTACCGAGAAGATTGCTCTAATAGCAAAGAAAGAAAGAAAGAAAGAAGGGAAGGAGAGACAGATCGAGACAGAAGGAAAGAAAGAAACATGAAAGAAGAGGAAGAACAAGAAGGAAGAATGTAGAGAAAGTTAGATCGAGAAAGAAAAAAGAAAAAAAACGAGAAAGATCGGTAAAGAAAGAAAGAAGGAAAGAAAGAAAGAAGTAAAATAAAGATGGAGAAAGAAAGAAAGAAAGAAAGAAAGACGTAAAATAAAGAAAGAAAGAAAAAAAGAAAGAAAGAAAGAAAGAAAGAAAGAAAGAAAGAAAGAAAGAAAGAAAGAAAGAAAGATCGAAAAGCAAGAAAGAAAGTAGAGGAGAAAGTTAAATCGAGTAAGAAGAAAAAGAAAAAGCCGAGAAAGAAGAGAACTAGAAAGAAAGAAAGAAAGAAAGAAAGAAAGAAAGAAAGAAAGAAAGAAAGACCGAATAGCAAGAAAGAAAGTAGAGGAGAAAGTTAAATAGAGTAAGAAGAAAAATAAAAAACCGAGAAAGAAGAGGAATAGTAAAAAAAGAAAGAAAGAAAGAAAGAAAGAAACAGATAGATCGATAAATAAAGAAAAAAGAAACAAGAAAGAAGAGGAAGACCGTGAAGAAAGAAAATAGACAAAGTTAGATCGAGAAAGAAAAAAGAAAAAGACCGAGAAAAATCGAAAAAGAAAAAATGAAGAAAAAGAAAGATGTCGAAACAAAGAAGAGAAATAGTAAATAAAAGAAAGAACGAAAGAAAGAAAAAAAGAAAGAAAGAAAGAGTGAGAATTAAGAAAGAAAATAGAGGAGAAAGTTAGATCGAGAAAGAATAAAAGAAAGAAAATTAAGAAAGAAAGATCGAAAAAGAAGGACTGAAAAGAAAGAAAGATTGAGAAAGAAAGAAAGAGAGAGAGAGAGAGAGTAACAATGAAAAACCAAGAAAGAAAGAGTTTCTTTTCAAAACACTCACCATTTTTACAGCTTGTAGGATTTATGACTCGTAAGACGAACAAGCATTAAAACATTTTTTGAGATCAACTCTTTCCCCACAGTCGAGTTTTTATTTCTTTATTTAGTTCGTCCAGATTATCTTCCATCCACAGGTTATAAAACGAAGATTAAAATAAATCAAAGGATAAACACTTATCTACCCACCTTTGTCTGCTGTTTCGCAGTAAAACGCTATATATTTTTCTGGTCTCTCACCTTTGATAAAGGTTTAAAATAGCTGTAAAAATGGAAGCCTTCAAAAGTGTCATCCTTCATGTATATATTTTATTTCTATAAGTGAACTCCGGTTTTGTACTTTTTTATGTTACGGTCACATGATATATTCATAATATGAAGAAATGTATTTTATCTTCAGGGAGAGGCGTGAAGATTCTATACTTTCCTGGCCATTATTTATATATTATATTGCCGATTTCTCTCTCTCTCTATATATATATCTCTCTCTCTCCCTTGCACGCACACACTCGTGTGTGTGTACTTCCAACGAAACTAAGATTTAGAATTAATTTTTAAAAATGAAAACTTTTTTCATTTTAGTATTAGTTTCATGCTAATAGATAAAATTTAATATTTTACCTACGTTATTTTGCATCGAGCATTGCGATATATATATATATATATATATATATATATATATATATATATATATATATAATTATTTATTTAAAATTATAACATAATATATGTTATAAAATCACTACAAAAATAGCCATTTTGTTTCAACACCTCTGTGACAAGTGGTGATGTTGAATGTAGATTGTAGAATAAAGGCTATTTTTGTAGTGATTTTGTAACATATTTATGTTAGAATTTTTAAATAAATAATTATATTCGCTCTACTCTGTATTGAGCACTCTTTTAAGAATAGTAATTGCTGGTTATTGGAATTTATTCCGTATACATCAATCATATATTTGGATATAGGACACCATTTCGAACGATGTAAATAGTGGAAATAGTTACAATACACCATCTCAGAAATATAGAAAAAATCCTGAAGAAGTCCGGAGCGTACAACGACCGAAACTTCATGAATATGACAACAAAGATGGGGACAGCAGCTCGAACAATGTAAATAGTGGAAATAGTTACAATACACCATCTCAGAAATATAGACAGATCCTGAAGAAGTCCGGAGCGTACAACGACCGAAACTTCGTGAATATGACAACAAAGATGGGGACAGCAGCTCGAACAATGTAAATAGTGGAAATAGTTACAATACACCATCTCAGAAATATAGACAGATCCTGAAGAAGTCCGGAGCGTACAACGGCCGAAACTTCGTGAATATGACAACAAAGATGGGGACAGCAGCTCGAACAATGTAAATAGTGGAAATAGTTACAATACACCATCTCAGAAATATAGACAGATAATCTAATGTTCTATTGAATTTTAGGTACTTTGTATTACAGTTACCGATTTAATTATCTGGTATTTTTTTGCTAGTATGTTGACTTTACTGCCTTGCATATGGTGATAGGATTAAAAAAAAAACTCGTTTAATAAATGAGGTAATTAACTGTTCGGAAAGTAGTTACGTTTGACATGCAAGGATCTATAAATTTAAAATTTAGTCATATATTATTTAGAAAAATTATAATCACCTTCACTATCAATCCCTGCAGTCCAACGGCAAGGTAAATTTTCAATTCCATGTTTAAAGAAACCTGCCCCCACCCTGAAAAAAAGTTTGAATTATTGTGCTCAAATTCTTCTTTATTTTTAAATGTTCTGTTACTTATGAAATGTTCTCTCTTATTTTTTTTAGGTGTGGGGGGGTTGTTTCACAAGGCATTTTTAAAAATCTTAGTTGACACAATACCACAGCCAAGGGTCAAAGGTTACTCAATGTTGAAAGTTTTTTTTTGTAAAAGAAGGGGGAGAGGAAAGTAAGAGGTGAATATTGTGAGGGCATATAGGATAGATATGGGTTAACCCTAGACTAGAATAGAACAGGGTTGTATTTGTAAGGGAAGCATTCACTCGGGAGTCGTTTTCTATAAAAGCAACAGTTCTAGAAAGAAGAGTGGGACTAGATTCTTATCAAAAGAACACGACAAGAATGGGGATGATTTACCATCATGAACAAATTTCAGCGGGTCCACGTTGCCAAGGTCCACGCTGCCAAGGTCCTCGCGGTGGAGGAACTCTGCGCTGTGAAGGTCGTCTCTACGAAGGTTCCAAATGCAAAGATCCCCGCGGCGAAGGTCTCTTCTACGAAGATCCTTGCTGCGAAGGTCCCACCTGTGAAGGTCCACGAAGCAAAGCTTTACGCAGTGAAGGACCCCTCTACAAAGATCCACGCTGCGAAGTCACCTTCTACAAAGGTCCCCGCTGCTAATGTCCCTTGCTACAAAAATCCTCGCTACGAAAGTCTCCGCTGCAAAGTTCCCCTTAAAAAGGTCCTCACTGCGAAGGTACCACCTACGGAGGTCCACGCTGCAAGGGTCACCTCTACGAAAGTCCTCGCTACGAAGGTCCCATCTCTGAAGGTCTCCTCTACGAAGGCCCACGCTGCGAAGGGCCTCGGTGTGAAGATCCTCGCTGCAAACGTTCTCGCTGCGCAGGTTCTCTCTACGAAGAACCCCGTTGTAAAGGTCCTTGATCGAATGTCCTACATACGAAGGTCTCCTCTACGAAGGTCTCAACTGCGAAGATCCCCGCTGCGAAGGTTTCCTCTACAAAGGTCCTTGCTGCGAATGTCTTACCTGCGAAGGCCCAATCTGCAAAGGTCCTCGCTGCGAAGGTGGACTCTACGAAGGTCCCCGCTACGAAGGTGTCTGCTGCAAATGTCCTCGCTGTGAAACCCCCGCTGCAAAGGTCCTCCTACGAAGGTGCTCGGTGCGAAGATTCTCGCCGCAAATGTCCTCTCTACGAAGGACCCGTTACAAAGGTCCATGCTCGAATGTCCTCGCTGCGAAGGTCCTCGCTGCGAAGGTTCCTTCTACGAAGGGCCCAACTGTGAACGTCCTCGCTGCAAGGTCACCTCAGCGAAGCTCCTTGCTACGAATGTCCCATCTTCGAAGGTCTCTGCTACGAAGGTCCCAGCTGCAAAAGTCCTCGCTGCGAAGTTCCCCGCTGCGAAGGTCCTCTTTACGAAGGACGCCGCTGCAAAGATCCTTGGTGTGAAGGACCTCGCTGGTAAACTAAAGAATATAACACGTCTGGGCATATACCATAATAATAGCGATAGGGTATAGAGAGGCGAGCAACGTTTCGTCTGTGAGATTAGTGTGGATAGTAATTCCTCACACACGAGGCCGCGTAATCTCTTATGAAATTTGTCGAGGCTGAACAGTGAGGTTTGGGGTGCACCATTTTTGCTTTGATCTGACTCTTGTAAAACAGTGCGTAGCAGCAGCAGTTAGGTACTTTCTGGAGCGATACAAAGAACCGACAATTTTCCCAGCATCTTTTGCGATGGCATTAATATACGCGTTCCATTTGAGGTCAAGAGAAAGCTTTAGACCCGACCCAGTAGACGTTCGAGATAAGGAGCCTCTCATCAGGTGTGGAAAAGGTATAGGCTCTGCTCGGCACAGTGGATAAAGGCGTTAGTTAGATCCAGTGACAGGGCCCAAAGAGTGTGAGTTCAATACCTGGTTAAGGCGTTGGAGAACTTGGAAAGGGGGAATTAACAGGAGATAACTGATAACTGACATCCATTAGACATGGCACGTGGAACTAGAACAGTCTACCCCAGCGAGCGAAATAAAGGGTTCAGTTCGACATTCCAACCACCTGAAGAAAGCCGGAGCGTACAACGGCCGAAACGTTGTGATAAATATGGCAACAAAGATGAGGACAATAGTCCGAATAATGTAAATAATGATAATCACCGTCTTCATTTTCTCTTGACATGCAAAACCCATTTTTCATCACCTGCTATTTCCGGTTAAATGAATGTAGCTAACCGTGGAACATTGGGATCGGTTTGCAAGTGAAAGCTCATGCAGAACACAAATTCTTTCATTGCAATATAATTGATTGATTCGTTTTTGATGGCTTATCAACCCATTGCAAGTTATTTATGGTGACTATGTTTGCCGCAGTCTCTGAATATGGAATCCAGTGAAGTCCGTAATCTCTTCAATATCAGAGGTCGGCAGTGAAGATTCAGAGAAAGTAGCGGTTGTTAAGTAATTCTTTAAGTCTTCAATATCAGGTTGGCAGTGCAGACAATTTGGTAGAAAAAAATGGCTGCTTTTATACACGTCGCATTGAATATTTTGAGCTTTCTGATTGGTTAACCCTTCTATTGGTGAACTATAAAATGAGTCAGCTCATTTAGGCTAGCTCACTAGTACAGAAATACCAAAAAAAACTGCAACAATCTAAAGCTAGAAAATAGTTTTAAATTGTAAGAATTTTTTTCGAGATAATATTGATTTAGTGATAAAGATCTTACTAATTAACCCATAGCTAAGGTGAGACGAGTTGGATTCATACTTTTCAGAAGGATATTAGCGAGTAAGTAAAATATAACGAACCCAAATGGAATTGGAACTCGGCCCTCCGATTGACAATTCTGTGCCGTTTTCCATTACACCACCCACACATCCAGACTGAAAGCACCTTCTATTCGCAATCGTTTACGCATCTAGGTACTGACCAAGTTTGAGGTTTATTTAAATTCGGTGATCATACGGGAGACGGTGTTTCAACGTGATACGGCCATAAGCCAAATTTATTTTATTTTATCTTTATTGTTATTTTTTTTTAATTGTATCATTAGAAGTTATTTGAGGAAAAGTAAAGATGTGCGATTCGGGACGTACATTTACCTAATCTTTTTTTTTATTATTATTTTAGTGGCACATCAACACCTCTGTGAGTCACTTAATGCCGAAATCTAAATATTTTGTACTCAATTTTACTTATTATTTTTTGGTGATAATAATGGTTTTAGTGATACAAGTCTTACTAATTAAGCCATAGTTGGGGGAGAAGAGGTGGATTCTTATCTTTCTCAAAGGTATTTGCGCGTAAGTGGATATAATGAACCCGACTGGAATTGAAACTCGGCTCTCTGATTAACCATTATATGCCGTTATCCATTACACCACGTGCACATCCAATCTTACAGCACCTGGTATTCCCAAGCGGTCACCCATCAAGGTACTGACCAAGCTCGACGTTGTTTAACTACAGTAATCACACGGGAAGCGGTGCTTCAACGTTCTGAAATCTCTATCTATAAAAGGCAGGATGTGTGTGTGTGTGTGTGTGTGTAACGAATGCATGGCCGCAATTTTTACATCACCAGAATTTACATGCACATGCTCCAAGTTATTGGAAAGGCCAAGACCGACATGGCATTTCCCAACTCCCATCGATAGTGGAAATAATCGATTTTTTTCATGCTTCTACGGCAATTTTCATGTAGTTTGCGGCCATTTTCTACTGGCCAAAGTGAGAGACAATAGCTGGCTGCCACGAATAGGCAGGAAGATTCTATTGGCCAGCGTGAGAGCCAACAGCTGACTGATACGAATGTTAACTAGCATGCTAGCATGCAAAAAAAATCGATAGCTGCATTCGTCAAAAGTGGGAAAAATTTAAATCTGCATGGCACTTTACTCCAATTGGCTCATTCGCTTGCTTAAACTCAACGTTGATTCTGATTCCGCAGAACTGGGTTGGGTGTGAAAAAGTATTTATTGTTAACATTTTTTTTTTCATTCGGTTTTTCCAGTTACGAGTCCTTTTTTTAAAGCTGATCGTTTTGTGTTCATTTTGTTTAGTTCGTTTTTCGTAACAGATTTAATGTTTAGTATCGAGTTTAGAAAAAATTCGCAGTTTGAGATAGGCAAGAAGTAAGGCATGTAGCAACATCAGCACGGCAAAGGGCACTCATTTAAAGGCAAGGAAGGGCAAAAATATTTTAAGTCAAGTGATAGCGATTGCTGTATGAGTCGTATGATTTTTGAATCAAGCACGGGCAACGCCGGGTCATGTTGCTAGTGTATTATAAACAACACATTGCCGGACTGATGTGATTCTAAGCTAATATTCGCTATAATTTCTCTGGTTATCTGGATTCGTTGACTCGTGCTGAAATACGTAATTTAATTTCTGTATATCCTTATATTTTCCACTGACGCAAAACAATCTTCCTACTGTAACTCCCAAGCCAAGCACTTGGCGTTGTTCGGTAGGCTACGTAAATAGTAAGATATGAGAGATAAAATGACAGAACAATTATAAACTCCTGATATATATATAAAAAAAAAAAACCTTCCTAAGTAATCACGTTGAAAAGAATGAAACACATCTTTGTGTGATATGGAAATTATGTGAAGAAAACTCTTGAAGCAAAGAGCGTTGCCATGTCTACCGTAACCTTCGAAACCACCCTGGGTATAAAACGACAAATGACTTTATAAAAAAAGAAAAATAATAATAATATAGATAAAAATAAAAT